AATTCAAAATCTTTTCGGTATTCTTATTAAGCTGTGACAAGCTGTGCAACGCACCGGTGAACATATGGAATAAACACGTGTTAGGGAGTCGGTGTCGACCAAACATTTCACTTCCAATCTGCAGTACAAGTGAAATACTGGGCTGCACTGCTGCAGCCTTCAGAATGAGAAGCAGAAGTCTGCTGACGCAATGAGCACAGTACGCTGCTGGAATTAAAAGCTCAAAAGCAGAAAAACAGCCGAAAGGCCTTTACACAAGCGGTATGTCCATCCATCACCAGCTGACTGTTTGTCTGGTGAGGGCTGTGGCAAGCTGTGGAGGACAGGACAGGACAGGGCTCGGAGCACACGACCGTCGTCCTCTGGGCTGGACTCCAGCTACAAGGGGCACCGCCAGCCTACGAGTCCACAGTCTCCTTCTGTTCAACACGCTCTTCCCCTCCAGCTCAAGTGTTCGATGGTTTCAGCTGACCAGGTTGTTATGATACAGGATATGCTTAAACTGCGTCTGGGGTCCGCGTGGCCAGTTGCACTGAATTACATCAAATATCAACAGCGGGGTTAGGTTACTGCACAGTGTCTGAAAACTGCTTTAGTTCCATTTCTTTCTTCTTGCCCAGCTTTGGCGTAGCTCTTCCAGCTATTGCCATTTTATTTTTGACCTTCCTGGACCTACAAAACGGTTCCCTGTACTTCACACAACGTAGACTTCATATAAATTGTGTTAGCTTAGATTAACATAACTGCTGAGCAAAACACAGTCATCATGGTTGTTAACTGGCCCTGGTGTGAGTGCGTGTCTCTGTGACCAGCAGGCACCCTGTCCACTGCTCTAGACAGACACCGGCTTCCCTGCACCCCTGAATTGGATGAAGTGGTTAGAAAATGGATGGATTTCTTTCTCAGTTCTGCCAGAAATACATCCCTCTTTATAAACATACAGGAACACAACCATTTAGGTAAAGACAGCTTCAGCCAGAACCGTGTGAGCAGAGTAAGTGATTCCGACTTGCTTGGTCTCCATCATCTGTATTACAATGCAAGGTGAAGGCCTGTGTTTAGCTGTGCACCCCATTATGGGCAGCAGCGCAGAGCAGCACTGAGGGTCTGGACTTGGAACTGGAAGGCTGTGTGCTCAGATCCCAGGTGGGACACTGCTGTTGTACACTTGAGCGAGGTGCTTCACCTGAACTGCTCCGGTAAAACACCCGGCTGTGTGAAAGGGTGCAAATATGTAGACTAAATCCAAACATACACCTCTATAAGAGCACAGAAATATCTGCTTGTTGGCTAATATAACTGTAATATGGATTAGTTTTAGTAATCTATTAAATCTATAATCTGTATCACTATAAATCTGTGGGTGGCAAAATCAAGACAGAGATTATCAGTCATTTAGGCTGAACAGGGAATTAAGAATACTTAAAACAATCAATCAATCAAAGTTTATTTCTCAAATGCACAACAATACAGCGTGCAGCAGGATTTTTACCCAATAGAAGTTGAATAAAATAAACTCAGACAGAGCTCAATATAAATAGTGCTGCGATGTGTCCAGGGTCGATTCAATACATTATGTCCAAGTAGTGCAGTATGCCGAATACAATGAAAAAACAGCCAAGCCATAATTATACTCAAAGTACATTAAGAAGATGTCCTGAGTTTGAGCAGTCTGGGGGTTTCTGAATTCCCGTTAACAGATATGTTGTCCTGGTGGCCATTCTGAAAGGACGGGTATAAGGTGGAACCAAGAACAAACATCTGCTGAGCCCTGGACTGGATGCAAGCGCACAGACACACGTACTGTACAATCCCACAGCCAAACAAGGCCGGCCTGCATGTCTTACAGAGGTGGGAGAGACCCGCGCAACCCAGAAAACCCACACATTAACAAAGAGGGAACATGCAAACTCCACACAGACATATGCCCACGGCCCACAAACCCAGGACTGATGACAATACTACTGTGCTGGCCACAGATCCCAAGATACTCGAATCAGATGGTCTGCATAATTATTCTTATGAGACTCCTCAATTCAGGATAAATGAAGTTTGAAAGTGCTATATATCAGTGACAACACTAACAGGAAGAAAACTGAATAATTAGACACAGCTTGGCCATAACCAGCATTTGTCACTATCTTGGCTATCTGGAAAAAGGTCTTTTTCTGGTGATTCAATTTATCTAGTTACATAAATTTTTCATAGCCTCCTGGATCGAGGTAACGTCTTTGTACAATACCGCACAATTCTAAGATCAAACTTTCTAGTTAAACATACAAACTGAATCTTTTTAAACTGATGCAAAAACTCACAGGTACTGAAGGACATTCAGGACACTAAACAGTCCCCTGCAATATCCTTTAACTAGTATAGGTGTAATAACACAGATTTAGTCATAAAGGTTTAAGAAACACTTTATCAAATCTCTTTGTGCAGCAAATCTCTCTGTATAGCTGGAGTATGTCTAGAATGCAACAAAAAAATGCCTCTTTGCAACATCACATTATACTGTACTTTGTCAGACATGTTCTTTTAATATTGAGCAATAACTTCCAGAATCCCAACACTAACACCTAACACAGGCTTCTATAAGATTAAAAAGTATGCAGCAGTCTATAATGCTTCTCAAGACCAGCATGTTGTTTGTACAAGCTGTCTCAGTGCTGACAAAAAGAAGGTTTATCTCTTCATCATGTGCATGTGAGAGGGGTAGAGTCATATAACACCCTAAATGCAAATGAATGAAAATCCAGGATACAGAAAAAGAAAGAAGTGGAAACTATTGTCACTGTTTGCAGCGCATTTTGTTCTGGTGAGGTGCATCTCAAAATTCCATAAAAAGTGCATAAGCAGTAAATTACAAAATTTTACAATACATTTCTCAAGTAACTTTTTAACTATGTGTTACATTTAACTGAGCCAAATCGGTTAAATATGTGTTTCTTTAAAGACCGACCATCCTGAATTTTAACTTGCAAACCTCTTCTCTGCAGCTGCAACTGTCAAGTATTTTCAGTCATGAGAACACTGTTCCCAATTTTTCCTTATCAATTCGTCACGAATGTTTTCGGCAATAACAAACTGTCACTCCTTTTCATCAAATGACCTGACAAAGCCAGAATCTGATTGATCCAAAGCCTGGTTACTACAGTAACAGCCGACATGGTATAGAAAGACCCTAAATTGCAACTTGCAGATGCAGGTCTGTGGAGGAAACGCAGGTAGCTTAAATCCACAGAACAGTTACAAAGAATTTCGAAATGTCTCCTTACATTAAAACAAGAACATCTCAAATCTTAGCTCGCCCCATCATACAGATTTAGGAATTGTACACAAAACAAGAACCTGTACAAATATACAGATCACCCTAACCTAATCTAGGCTAAGAGCTGCCTCCTCAAATTTTCTCAGTGCTGTGCAGAAACCTGAGTTACACATAAGAAGCCATAAATCTTAAAAAGCCAATTCCAAACAGGGTCCTAACAAAACCATGGCAACAGGGTACACTTTCTCACATACTGCATTTCCAAAGAAAAAAATAAACAATGACTTACTTTCCAAATGAGAAGTAAAACCATACCACATCACAGCTGCCTAATCAGTCATCCTGCATGACTGCAATGTTACAAATAATTTAAAGGTGTATATACACAGGTTTAAAAGTTACGCGCAGGGTATTCCTAAATCCTCAGATGCAATTTGAGACCCCGATGGGTCCTGTTCGGTCTTGTACTTGCTGCTGCGGAAGGCTGACAGGGGATTTGAGATCATTCATAGCAGTTCCTCCCCTTTCAGGCTGATCCAGACACTCAAATTGGTTTGCAGCACAGATTAGGCATGATACACTGCCAGACAGGACGTCAGAAAGACCGAGAGAGCTACTAGTTAAACAGAATGGCATTAACTTGCGATGGGTTAAGAGTAAACACAAGGTGAAACTGCCTACAAACACAACTAGCTCTACAGAAGAACATGAAGTTTGCAAATGACTCGAGGCCGGCTGAGCTCATTTGGCTGTGAGCAGTTCATTCAGTGCTCTTTCAACCAGCAGCCCTCCTAATCCACAGGTTGAATCCATTACAGGGTTTCGTTTCAACCAGCTCCTCATTTCTCTGTAACCGATAATCAACGCGATCAATACGGCAATTAAAGTCGCTGGCTGTATCAGAGCACCGCAGTGCAGGACTGGAAGGACCACAGGCTGGGTAGAGCCTGAAGACCAGCTCTGAAGATCACGTCCCAGTCTGGACAGGAGACAGGGCATCCTCCGCTCCAACAACATGGCTGTCACACACCACACAGTGCAGAGCAAGTGCAGAGCTTCCCAAATAAATACGGCAGGATTGATTTATTTTTTTTTGACAACTGTGCCTTTCTGTTTTGATGCCGATATTTACATTTTAATACGATTCCAAGCGTCTGCATGTAGGAACGAGCTTACAACCCGACCCTTTCACGTCAAAACAATGTCCACAATAACAATTTTCTGACCAAAAATGCCAAAGGTGGATCGAAGACATTCGTACTCGTATGGACAGGAACAGGCATCAGTGCTGCGTTACTATCCTCCTCACGGAATTGTGCTACAATTAAGATGATTTCTGACCCCGGAGAAATGTCATTCAAGCATCAATGACCGGTCAAATTACTTGCCTGTACACGGTGTACGTTTTCCCCGATATAAGAATAAAGACGTGCACTCCTCAGAGAACACGTTTTTCCCCCCATATTTATTAAACTTTTTTTTGGCTTACAGCGGTTTCCCACCTTTAACTCCCTAAGATTTCCAAGCATTCACTGTTGCAATTTTTTTACAAGTCATCACCACCCCGATACCAACGCTAGGCCCCTAGTTACGGCAAGATCTCGCCCAGCGCATCTCGCCCTAAATCCCGGAGGATGGGAAACGACGAGGAGGTTTTGTTTTCCACACACGTCTTGCTCCGAGGGCAACCCGATGCGTTTTCGTTGAATTTCAGCTTCTCTTCTTGCCTTACCTGCAGATGTTCCTGAAACCGTATCGGCAGTATCTGTGCCATTTCGTCTAGCGGTGTGCGTTACACGGACACAGCTGATCAAGAGGAAAAGGGGAGAGGGGAGGGGATAGGAAACGAGGAAAGAGAAATGTTTTTTTTTAAAGGAAAAACAACTTCTTTTTTAAAAAAATAGGAAAGGAGGAGATGTGTTGAGGGGTATTTCGGCATGAATAGCTCAGTCTATCCGGCTTGTGTCTGCGCACGTCTGACTCGCAGAGCTCATTCAGTCCCACCCTTAGCGCAGCCCCGCACTGCGCTCTCTCCTTCCGCTACGCGAACTAGTCCCGCGCCGTCTCGCTGCGGAGAGGATGCTGAGAGACTCGGGGTGCGCGACTGCAGCAGGGGCCGTGGGGGGCCGCAGGCTGATATCTCCCCCCCCCCTGCACCCCTGAAGAGACTCCCTCCCCTCTCGCTCTCGCTCTCCCCGGATGCCGACGTTGCGCAACTTGAAGCGATAACATAAAAACAGAAATCAATTTGGGATGTCCCCCCTCCTCCAGTGTACCCTTCCGCTCACCCCCCCCATCATCACCTTTTTTTAACAGCCACATCAGAGCACGTGACAGGTGCCCGCCCCCCCCCATCTGTACCCCTTCGATATTTGCAAACTCAGTCCTATGCTGCGTGCGGTTACCCTTCAGCGAATACAACGTTAGCTCCACATACACGCCGAACAGCTGGGCATAAATCGGGCACCAGCTCATCAGCTCCAATTTTAAACAGCGTCAGAGGCTGAAGCAAGACAGTAACGGTACAGCCAACTGAAAACTGAAAGAGGGTGCGCCCCCCAAACAACCTCATATTGTAGTGACAAGAAGTGCCATGCGACATCTTTAAAAAAGTAGACTTCTTTTCTATTGCGGTTTTAGAAGGTGATTATTGCGGCTCTGATGGAGGTCAGAGGTCAAAGGCCTGGGTCCGGGTTTTATTTTGTAGGGTGTGTGGGATAGGAGGGGTCTGCAAACCCCAGTCCAGTTATCGATGAACCGAGACAGCAGCTCGTTTAGTTCATCACACTGGAATTGACCCATAGTTTAAGGAACTGGTGATGTAATGACGACCTACAGACCCTGCTGGACTGGGGCTCTCTAGAACCAGGGTTCGAGACTCCTGCTGTAGTCTGTTGCTGCCATGCTGACCATGCAGTGAACCCAGCTCGAAGGTGGGCACTCAGTGTGCGTCCTGCGTTCCTCCCACGAAGCACCTCTGCAATCAAGACCACTATCCAGAATCCCCTCGTGGGGTCTCATGAGCCAGATTAGCTGAATGTCCTACTTTAAATACTTTCTGCTCTTTGCTAGTGCATGCTAAATCCCCAGAAATGTGTAGGTTTAACTACGAATTATCAGGCTTTTATGATCCAAACATACAGTAAATAGCTTGAAGGCAAGTACTCTCCACAGCAAAATGCCAATCAAATAAACATGACAGGACAGCCTATGAGCATGTGCACTGTGTAGCCATGGACTACAGATCGCATCTTGCAGAGTGATAGCAGCACACTGGTACTGTACCCCACCTGACTGCTGAATGTCCCTTCCCATCACCAACAATAAATACATAAATCATTGATCATCATTTCTTACATCAATTTATCCATTGAAAGTGTCATTCCTGTAATTTAATGTTTCGGCTTCTTTATAAATTCAAGAGGTGTTAAATAGTCATAAACATCTGTTTTCAGCTTTATCCTTAGAGGGTGCTGGGGAGCTGGAGACACAGGGCACTTTAGAAATGCATGTCTGTGGACTGCGAGAGGAAACTAGCAGATCTGGAGAACAGGTGGAAAACAGGCAAACTCCACACAGAAGGGTCTCAACTAGTGTGGAATCAAACCCAGTTCTGAAGAGGATGTGCGAACGACCAAACATCCATGCTGCCTGATATCATTAAAGGCAATTTCATCCCCCCCAAAAAAGACAAAACGCTAAAATGCCGTACTCAGTTTGAGGACTTGCTTAAAGACTCGATAAGGGAAAAGCAGGTGTTTCTTGCTGGTTTCTTACAGTGTGAAATAAAACCTGAACTAAAATCGTTGCTCGCCCCCTTGTGGAAGATCAACGCAGCAGAATGTCAGTGCAGTACCGTAATTACAATTGTAGCGCGTTTGCTTTTCATACACTGGTACCTTGATGAATTTCTCTTATCGCCGCTGAACGCGGTGTTTCAATCAATCCAATCAGAATTTTCTACCTCTTTTCCATACCCTGATGTGAAATGTTAATGGACGCGTACTTGGTGACGGGACCCTTCGCACCCCAGAAGGACAAAATCAGAGGGGTTAGTACTATGTCATGATCTTACGCGACTCGAGCAAGACAGTAGCAAATTTAAACAGTGCGGTACAGAGCGGAGGAGGGGACGGGTAATTATGTTTTCTGGAAATCACGACCGTGTTGAAAACAAAATCAAACGGAAGTCTATAACTTCCACGGTACAAGAACGGTCTTCAGATCCGCCACAGTTGACGTCAGACACTGCTGTGTTCCTGGGGTCACGTAGTTTTGGGGGGTTCGTGGTCGAAACTTTCTGGTAGGCGGGTGACTAACCCATCCCAACAAACAGCGAGATGTTGTCAATTTTCGACTAAGCTTTACACTTCAAAGTAGATTTCACTGCGTTAAGCTTGGTTGATGTGTTTCTTTTCACTGTACATTTTTATACAGCACAGCCCATATCGAAGTCAATTACAGCCCGTTATAGTTCAGTTATGTTTATGCACTCATTATACTTTCTCATTGTAAGAGATTATAGGATTTAAAACGGTTCGGCTTCTATTAGAATTTTAGCTAATGGACCTGGAAATACAAAATAAAAACGAAAGCCGTGTTATTCTTTGAAGCTCTCGTCTCATGAACCCACTTAATCACACACTGTGTGTTATACTGCCGCCCTGAGGAGAGTTTGTGGAACCCGTGAAGATTAGACGTCCCATCGATTATTAACGGTTTTTAATTTTCTCTAAGGTTGGTCACCAAGAAAAGATGAAACCGTCCTTGCTGTGGTTTAAGAGTCCCGATTAAAGAATTATTTAGTTTTAAACATCAGGGAGCTCAAAGTCTGGACCCACACAGCATCAGTGCTAGACCCCACTTTTATAATAATAATAATATCACTTTATTAACCCTTTACAATTTCTTGCATTAGGAATGATCTTTTCACAAACCCCAGCTTGCTCTCCATGAGACACAGACAGGGAGAGAAGCTGGGAGTCAGAGGGCAGGTCAGCCATTGTATGTCACCCCTGGAGCAGTTGGGGTTCAGGGCCTTGCTCAGGAGCCCAACAAAGTAGGATTTTTCTGCCGGCTCTGCGGCAGGCGCTGCGGGATTTGAACCGGCAACCTTCCAGCCACAGGCGCAGATCCTTAGCCACAGAGCCTTGTGATGCACCTCACCTCTTCCTAGTGCACATACATGAGGGAAAAGAGGTGAGAAGAAAAGAGACAAAAGAAGGATCCACATTCGTAACGTCGTGTCTCCTTTTCTGCATGGAATAAACCTTTACTTGCTCCTTTGCAGGAGAGAAAGAATGTCTTGACAGTACCCCGGCCGGCCACATGGGGGCAGTGTGGGACTGGTCTTCCCTTCCTCTCATCAACCCGCTAATTACTAGTTTCTCACCGCAGCACCTTTCATCCCCGCTGCTGTGCTCAGGGCCTTTCGGGGAACAAAAACAAGGATAATTACCGTTATCATTGGCTCTGTTCTGTTAGAGTCATGACCAATTCTGTCTTAATGTAGCAGGAAATTAAAGCTGCAAGTCTTTAATTTGAACGAGGAATTGGGTGTGCTGTCTTTCACTGCTGGTAGTTAAGTATTTCATCTTCTGACGCTCCAGGTCTTTAGCCAGAAAACTCCCAGTTACCACACATTTTTCAGCTGGTTTCTAACCTCACCTTGCTGGTCCCAATCAGATCTGTACTATTGTTCTCTCATTTGTGATCACCTTTGTAGTTCCTCTGTCCAATAATAACAGAGATGGCCTCTTATATGTAATATTTATAGAGCAGTTTATTTTTTGTAGCTGAGTTCAGCTTCGGTGATTTTTTATGTCTAAATAATAAATCTCTACCAGTACAAGACAATGCAATCCCATGCAAGTCTTAGATTGGTCGCTATTCCTTTTGGTTACATTATATTTGTCTTTTTTTTTTTCCTTCGATCGGGAATCTTTAGGGAGTACGTGCAAAGGCCCATCTAAATATCTCTAGTATCCATTTGGCACAATCACGTTAAACAATTCAAATGAAAGAACAAACAAAAGAAGACATCGAAAGGTGTATTTCTTTGTTAAAAACCATTAAACAACCGCAGAAAAGCTCCGTCTGTTTTTTGATTCGGCTAGTCTCGACTGTTACATCAGAGGCATCTCAAATTATCTGCGAAAACCAGAATGGCCACTAGGGGCGCCCGCAGCCTATCAGCACCCCTCAACCCTGTCACCACTGACTCGGCTAATTCGCTGGGGGCCGGAGCAAGGCAGAGATTTTGTTCTATTTATCTTTACTGACCAAGAAAGAGGTTAATTAGATGTTAATTAATGTCTGGAGCACTAAATTGTTGCTGGTTGTATCTTTCAGCTTATTGTCACTGTCACATGAAACCCTCTATCCGTTATTTTCCAAATTAAAGATGGAGGAGACCTGTGGCCTATTAAATTCAAGTTCCCCTAAAACACACCAAAGCAAATCTGAATTGTGTTTAAATGTTAGTCTTCTGTTGCAGATATCAAATCAGATACCATATCCCCACGCTGGGTGATATTCCTGTCATGTTTCGTGTCGACATTAGCCAGTGTGAGCCAAGCACAGGAGCCCTTCATTTCATCTTTATCTTTTACACTTGTACACTGCTCCTGGGGTCATACAGTCACACACTCCCGGAAACAGGCTAAGAAAACACACTAGGCCGAATGACAGACTTCGTGTCACTTCTGTCACTTAGCCATAAGGTCCTGTAGATCAGGGCTTCGCTACCCAGGCCAGCAAGATGTTTTAAGCTTT